CATTGGCTGGCGAGCCCGTTCGGCCCGGTGGGGGCGGCGGATGGGCATTCCAACAGGAACTCGCCGCTCACAGGTCTGACGAACGTTGAATGAAAAGAAAACAAGAGGCCACCGAAAATTGAGACTCACGGGTTGGTACGAGCGTAAGCCACAAAGCCGAGCTGGTTCGTCGCGGGGTCCACGGAGACGACTGTCGGTGCGTCAGCCTGTTGCTGAGCCGGGCTGCCATGCCATTCAGTGATTAATTCCCTGAACGTTGAACAAAAGTGGCGTACGTCATGATCACAGTGGTCGAGTCGTTCTGGCCATTCACTGTCTGCAGCAAGAATCCTTTGGCGGTGCCGTTCTGCTCGGTGGTGGTGAGCGGGGTTCCGGCGAGCTGGCTGGAGTATGTCCACGCCACGGAGCCCTGGTGAGCTACGATCGAGACGGTCTGTCCGTTGAAGGACTCGTCGGAGCCCTGGCGGGTGGAGAGAGGGGTGGAAGAGACTGCGAGGATGGCAGAGAGAACGACGGAGGCGGCGAAGAGCATGCTGTGCGAGTGCGAGTGGACTAGAGAGGTTGTTTTGGGTGCAGAAGAGAAGAGAAGTGGAATGTTGAGAAGCCACAAATGTTTGAGCTTTTATATCGAGTTTTGGGGAGCCGGCGTATTAACGCCGTCACACGACCTCCCTTGCAGATCGGGGCGATGAGGCTTAGTCGAGGTTGGCGTAGAAGAATAGAGTTTGAAGTTTGAACCGCTTTCCGGGCGCGGCATCAAAGTGGAGATGTGGAGTGGAGCTGCGGTTCCCGAATCCCAATTTGGAAGCTCCGGTTCAATGTTCGAAAGAGCCACGGATGTAGTGTCCCACATCTACGAGTAGAAGCACGCTATCTAAAGGGAGTACAGAACTCCGATTAGGGAGGGTTGCGAGAGGTTCAAGGACACTGCCTTCACGCAATTGTATGCTACGGGATCGCGTTAAAACCAAAACGTGTACGTGAAGTGGTCTCCATCTGACTCGATACCACGATGTCCAGTGCTCCTAGCTTAACATCACCTCTCAGTACCGACGTTGATTGTCAGAACTGTTGACGCTGACGGCCTCCAACCAGATGAACAGGAAAATGAAAGAAGAAAGCTCAAGCAGATTCAGGAGCTACTGTCAGCAAATCAAGGCGGCTTTGAGAGCCCGAGAAGCGAGGCTGCATTGTGGAACAGACGGAGTCAAGTCCGAGACATCAAGTCCGACTAAATGTGTGCGGCGACGAGTTGCCCCGCCTTACCGCATCCCATTATATTCACCGACAAGAAATTGATAGTGATTGACCTTCCGGGAATGTGAGGCCGTGGCTGCCCTAACTCACGGCGCAGCCTGCCGTGCCCGTGTGGTAGACCCGTATATGACTGCACTAAATAATCTTTGGATACCTCATCGCTATAATAATTCCACATCTCTCGATGAAGGCATAGCAGCGAAAAACAAAGTTTGAAAAAGCGCATCCGGCTCGGAATGGCTGCCTGGTGCTTGTTTCTGATGCCTTTCCAGAGGCGGAACGCAGGCCAACCATCTGGGCATGTGTAGTTAACCGGACTGTTATAGACAGGAGGTAGCGAGGACCCAGAGACCCCAAGTTCATCCGAGCGCTTGCAATTGGGGGTAGAACGTCAACACGACTCCGTGGATGTCTATGTATGCGCACTGGAGGCGCAAGTCTACGTGTTTCCCTTCTACCTAGGCCACGCGAAAAACCTCACTGATAATTAGGATCATCTCGAAGCACTCTCAACCGCGGGAACTTCAGCATTAGTGATCAGTTAAAGGCTGTCAGCATTGGAAAAGTGATCAGTCAAAGCGGCGCGAGAGGCTCCAATTTGGCCCGGCCGAGGAGAACGCAATTCGTGATTCGTGAGTGTGGTTTGATTCGGACCATGTTGCTGGAAGTACCTACTCATTTTCACGACTCACATTGAACAGCCGGATATCTGAAGTCGAGGGCGGCGGAAGAAATTGAAGGGTTGAGTTTATGTTGTACGCGGCGATGTTCAGACGACTGAGAGCTCTCCAAGATACGGATTCAGATACTTACGAGCGAGACAAATAATGGGTGTTGGAGACGATGTATTCTGGCGCCGGCCGTAGAAAAAGGTGAGCGTAACGACCGGCAGATATAATACAATGATAATCCGGTTCGATTTGCACGGAGCTGTCTCCATCTGCATCGGTCCCCGATAATAGATATGCGTCGTGCAAACCAATTTCCTTACTCTCTCTCTTTCTTTTTCTTTTTCTTTCTCTCTTTTTCTCTTTCTCTTTCTTTTTCTTTTTCTTTTTCTTCCTCTCTTTCCTCTCTCTCTCCCCTCAGCTCTCCGACTCGGATCCCCACGGTTCATTTTTCACTGATCCCATCGCTTTCACAGTGTTGCATATGTGTTATTCAATTCTGACCGCGGAGCTCGATTCCAATTTCTGAGTTCTTATTGACTGAGACTTGAAATGGGAACTACATGTATAACTGAAGTTTCTGCGGAATGTTATTGCAATTTGCAATTATAATGTCCACTCCTGTTTTTTGAAAAAGAAAAATTTGAAGTTGCGGCGGACAAGCGGCGGACGGTCCGCACGACGGATACGTCATTCCTGATGTGGTCACATCCCAAGTCACAGGCTTCGCGTCGCTCTCTTCCTCATCTTCTACCACAGCCTACCGTCCTTTCATGGGTAATCGAGCTATCCAGGATTCTGCCAAAACCATTGCACTTCGACTCCTCCATCGGGGCCGCGACAGCCGGAAAGAGATAGGCAGATTATGTGATCTGTCGACCAGAACACTTCGACGGACCATCGTTCGCTTCCAGACCACAGGCAACGTTGCAAAGGCCGCCGCCCTTGGCCGCGGTCGACCACGGCTTCTTCACACTAGGGATTCACACTATCTTCTGAAGCTAGCCCGCCATGCTCCGTCCAAATTCCTTGATGAATATCAAACCTTTTTGCATCGCTATCGGCATCTGCCTGTGCACATATCAACCATACATCGCACGTTCGAGAGGGCCGGGCTGAGCGTGAAGCATGTCCAGAAGATGGCCTCCGAGCGAGATCCAATGCAGGAGGCTCTATTCACCCACCGCATCTCTGCATACCCGGCACATTATCTTGTTTGTCTTGACGAGACCTCGAAAGATGATCGGACGTACGCTCGAATGTGGGGCAGGTCTTCGAAAGGACGCCGAGTGGAGGTCTACCAGCCATTCGTTCGCAAACGGCGCTTCACCGGAATCGCAGCCCTTGCGCTGGATGTCGGCATTATCGCTTCGCGGGTGATTGAGGGCTCATCTGACCGTGAAACGTTAATCGACTTTCTACGCAACGACTTGGTACGTTTTCCATCACTGATTGTCGGCTTTTCTCATCCCGATTTAGCTCCCCGTAATGAACCCGTATCCAGCTGCTCGTAGTGTGATTATGTTGGACAACGCCAGAATCCATCACTCCGAAGAGATTCGCGAGCTAGTAGCCTCGTTTGGTGAGCACATAGATGGGGTTTTATATGCTGACCTGGCCTCGCAGGGTGTCGCATTGAATACCTCCCCCCATACTCGCCTCACTATAATCCGATCGAACAGGTTTTGTCTGTGGTAAAATCATATTTACGCCGTATCGGTATCGGAGCCTACCCGACATCTGCCGCTTACTACGAGCTTTATCGCGCCTTCCAAATTATCACCCCAGAGATGACATGGGGGTTCTACAGACACTCGGGACTTGTCTAGCCACTACGTACATGCGATGTCGAATGCAATCTATCTACAGTCCAACTTTCCCCTTCTTCCACTCTCCTTCTGCAAAGCGCAAAGAGGCCCGTTGGCCGATGGTCAAATAGCGGTCCAGTATAGCGTTCTCAACATACTCGAGGACATGAGGCCCCTCCAATTTGAGCTCGGCAATGCGGTCGTAGATATCATCTACCTTGCGTTTCTTTGCCGGCCGATCCTGAGATCCATCCCCGTTTGAAGCTCCTTCCCCTGCATCGGACGCCTGGAGCAGTCAGTCAAGGAATGACGGAAGGGGAAGACTTACGGATGCTGCGACCTCGAGCGGCTCCTCCTTCACTTCCAATGTTACAACGGCCTTGGCTTTCTCCATCACCTGCTTCACCAACTCCTCGAAATCTTTCACTGATGACAGCTGCATGTTCTTGTAATCAGTGCGCGAAATGGTCCAATTGACCTTGAAACGTGTGGTGCGGAGTTGGTGGCCAACAACTTTGAATCGCATCGAATGATCGTTTGGCCCGTCACGACCAATCACTTTGATCACCGCGTCGAGAACATCACCCAGTGCGCGTTTCTCATGTAGATATACGTGAGTTTTGATTTTCTCGGCGCGAGCATTGCTCCGTCGCTTGGGCTCGTTCGGCTTCAGGGGCAGTAATTGGGGCTGGAATATGATTAGATACTGGATCCCTTTGCCGCCATTGCACATCGACTCTATGATAACAGTATTATACCTGATCCAATGCCTAAGTCAATAGATCATGCTTACCGTGGTCCTCTTCCTCCTCTTCCTCCTCATCCGACCGTGACGTGGATCCGGCAAGTCTGCTCTCGTTGTGGTAACGTTCCTGAGTCTGGACATATTCTTCGTAGCCATCTTCATCAATATCGGGGACGTAGTCATCTTCATAAGGATCTTCGAACATGGCCAAGACGGGCAGAAGAGTGAGGTCAAAAGGCAAGAAAGAGAACGGAAAGAGACGCGACGCGAAGCCTGTGACTTGTGATGTGACCACGTCAGGAATGACGTATCCGTCGTGCGGACCGTCCGCCGCAACTTCAAACTTTTCTTTTTCAAAAAACAGGAGTGGACATTATAATTGCAAATTGCAATAATAAGAGATATAGGAGGCAAAAATTCGAAGGAACCCCCAAATGGCTCGTCACATGACGTGGTTATCATGCGTTGGAACACAGCAGCCGCCCCCGCGCATCCTCCTACCCAGCCTTCGCCACCCTCCACGGCCCAATGGTCTAGTCGTAGGATACTCCCTTCGGGTTCGCACCCGTTTACCGTGTAAACGAACGTGGGAGTGGTCCCGGGTTCAATTCCCGGTTGAGCCCTTTTTGGTGTGTCTGGCCCTCAGGGATTTACGGGTGCCCAAGGGGTGGGATGTGAAAGTTTTACTCGGACTGTTCGTTCGATATGATCTGAACAATGGGACAAGTGATTGCGATTGATATTTGTGTGTGCAATTGTTAGTGCGACCAAATTCGTGGAGGAAAGGATTCAGACTGAACGATTACCGTGGTGCGAACACAACGGAAGCGGGGTGTCGTTCGTTTGAGCGCGTCCCCGGGCCCTACATTCTAGAACGCTCTTGATCTTGCGTACAACGGTGTGACTTGACGAGTGAGCATGATTAGGGACTGAGTGGGCATTTATTGTGATACTGATACTGACTAAGTTCAATCTGCGAGTCTGACAGTCTGGCAGACTACAGTCTACAGACTGCACTGAGCGACACCGTACACATTGCACAAGCGCTGGTGCGTTTCTTTTTTTAATGATAGGAGGAGCCGTTTTTGCGGCGTGATTTGTGAATGTCAAGGAAAGGAAAGGAGGCAAGGGGGAACGCGCTTTAAATTCAAGTGATCGAGCGAAAGCTTCAGGCTGGCTGCTTGTGACGTCCGACGTCGCGCCGCAGTCGAGTCTGGTCGAGTTCTATTCTCGGGTCGATTTCGCGTTGTGAAAAGCCACGTCCGTCGAGGTAAATAACAAGGTGGCCCACTGCCAGTTTGCACCGTACCAAACAATATCTATCGCTTGCCTAGTAGAACGCACACAAGTCTCACCACCGAGTGTCAGCTATTTATACCACGACGGCGACTCGGCAGCATCGCAGCCATCACGTCAATCCAAGAATAGCAGTCCAATTATTTCACTTTCTCATCCACACCACCATGCCTCCGCCTACCCTCAAGCCCTCCCTCCGCGCCGTCGCCCTCCTACTACTAGCGCTCCCCCCAACCCACGCCGCAATAACCGTCTACCAAGCGCCCGGCCAAGCCGCCTTCGCCACCGGCTCGTCCGCCGCAGCCGCGTCCGCATACACCGGCGCGGCGGCGTACAACCCCACCACGCTCCTCCCGCCGCCCGTCCCCACGCCCGCCGTCCCCAGCAGCTTCGCGCTGGGCCTGCAGCGCGACACGCCGGGCGTGAGCATCGCGCAGAGCGGGGACTTCGTGGGGTTTAGCGTGGAGATGAGTGTGAGTAACCAAGTCTGTGCGTGTTCCCCGGTCTCTTTTGGAGAAGGAGGAGGAGAATGATTAATGACGGCGGGGCAGTGGGGAAGAACTCGACGTTTCTGCAGGTGCCGTTCCTCAACCTCATGGCCAATATCCAGCAGCGCGCAGGCGCCGTGCGCGTACGGGTGGGCGGGAATTCGCAGGAGAGGTGTGTGGCGTTCCTTTCTCCCCATTTTCCCTTGCCTCTCCTCTTTTTCACCCCCTGCTTTTTTTGAACAACGCATACGCTAACGCCCCGCCAGCGCCGCCCTCGTCCCCGCCGCCGCCATCCCCAACGGCAAGATCCTGCAAAAGAACCTCACGGGCGTCACCGGCACCACGCAGACGCCGCCGCTCGAGTACAGCGAGGATCTGTTGTACATGGTGGGTCTTTTCGTGTTTTTTCGTTATTTCGTTGTTCCGCGGTTTTTTTGGGGGGAGGCGTGGGGGTGATTGGGGGTGATTTTGGTTTGGGATTTTGGGCGATTTGAGGGGGAGGCGTGGAGCGGCGGGCGTATGCTGTTTCGGGGAGTTGCGCTTGCTCGTCCATTCTTGTCGAGCTCGGGGCGTCCTCTGTGGTGAGGCGAGAATAGACGTGCGAAGACAGACGTGCAGACCTCGGGCTTCGTGCGCATGACGGCCGCGCGCCGCGGTGGGAGCGCGGTGGGAGCGCTTGTGCAGACCGTAGAGTGGGCGGCGCCGATAGCGATTCGAGGCCGCGTTTCTTCCGATGTGCGTGGGGAGTCGGCGTTCGCGGCTGACGCGGCGCGAGTCCCGTCAGTCAGGCGGAGGAGCCGAGGAAGGTGTGGCGCGCGCCGATTGGGTGCCGTGCCGGGTCGATGCGGCGGCGCACAGAGCGTGCGGACGACTGCCAAGCAGTAGAGGATGGAGGGAGGAAGGTGCGACGCGCGCCGACCGTGTGCGTGCGGAGGCGGGGCGGCGGTGTGTCGGGATGCGTTCCGGGCGGATTACGTTTTCGGCGGGGCGGAGCGTCGGTGGTACGGTGGTGTGACCGCCGTCTGCGGTGTCGCAGTACACGACTGTGGCCCGCCTTTGACAGAGCGCATGAGCGTCTGCGTCGTCTGCGTTGGGATATGGCACCTCGAGCGCGGTGTTGATGAGCGTTGTACGGGAATGTGTAGATGTGCGCGCAAGCACTCGGTGCCCTGCTCGTGGGTTGTTCCTTCTCGGTGCTCTGCTCGTGTGTTGTTCCTTCTCGGCCCTTGGTGCCTTGTCGCTCGCGCACATCGCACCCCGCACCCACGCCGTCCTTCGTTTATTCGACTTTTCCCGCGAGCGAGAGAAGGGCGGGCGAGCGAGGGCGGCGCGCGTTCGGGCGGCATTGTGAATCCTCCGGTGCGGCTGGCAGGGTGAAGCCACGCTGTCGCGAACCGCGTTGGACGAGCCGCGGTGCGCAGTAACGAGTCGCGGTGCGGTGCGGCGGCGGGGCTTGCCTCCCTCCACCGCGGGCGCGCGACGTAGTCGATTCGGGCACGACCGCTCTGCCCTGGCCCGGCGTCCGACTACAGAGACGCACGCACGCGCGCGTTCCTCCCTCCCTCTCGCGCTTCTCGTTTTTTTCCTCTACGGCTTGCCGTCCATTCGGACGCCTGCAGGCTCGCGTTGCGATCTTTCCCCTCCTTCCCCTTTCCTCTTTCTTCCCTTCCTCCCTCCTCTTCCATCCATCTCGCTACCCCCTCTCCCTCCCCCTCCCCCTCCCCCTCCCCCCTTCCTTTTCCCTCCTCTTCCCCTTATTTCTCCGTGCTTTTGGCTTCCCTTCCCTTCCCTTTCCCCTGTTTTGTTTCCCCATATTCTATATCCTCTATTCCTTTCTCCCCTTTTCTCTCTTCTCTCTTCCACGTCTTTTCTCCCCCATTACAAAACGCTAACCCTCCCCCTCCCCCACGGTTTTGCTAACCCCCCCCCCCCCCCCCCCCCCCCCCCCCCCCCCCCCCCCCTCAGATGTCCAACATCTCCGCCCTCGTGAACATCAACTGGTTCCTCGGCGTGCCGTGGTTCGCCACCGCGCCGTTCGACCTTGCCATCGTGGGCGCGGCGGAGCGCATCTTGGGCGGGCGGGTGGTGGGGTATCAGGTGGGTGGGTTTCGTCTTGTGTTGTGCTGTGTCGGGTTCGTTCTTCGGTTCGCATGCGGTTTGGGTGTCGGTCGCGATTTGGGTGTCGGTCGCATGCGGTTTCGTTTCGTTCTGCTCTCGCATGCGGTTTCGTTTCGTTTCGTTCTGCTCTCGCATGCGGTTTCCACGCGCGAGGCGTGGCGGAGGGGCGCGAGTTTGGCACGGGGCGGGCTGGGGGGGAGGGGAGGGCTGGGGGGGAGGGGAGGCGTGGGCGTGAGGGGTGCGCGTTATTTGGAGGGAGGAAGAGAACGTGGGGAGGGGAGGGGACGGCGGGACGGCGGGACGCGGAGGGGGCGGCGATTTCGCGTGGTGGGGAGAAACGCGCTGGGGAGGCGGGCGCGCACGGGACGGCGTGCGGTGGGCCCTGTATACCGTATACCGTATACCGCGGTCACTCGCGAACCGCGTGTGCCGGACGGTGACTGATTGGGCGGAGAGCGTGCAGCGTGCGGGGAGCCTCGTGTGGTGCGCAGACGGGGAGGACGTGCGCCTGATAGCGGGGAGTGCAGTGCGCGGATCGATTCTGGACGGCGATCGGGTGTCGAAGGCGGTGTGCACAGAACGGGGAGCGCCGTGCGCGGACGATGTACAGACGACGACCCCGGGCGAAGGGATGTGGACGCCCGCTTTCCCTGCGGGACGGGAGCTGTCAGCGAGTCTCGCGCTGAAGTGGAGGAGTGGGCGTACCGCGGTGGAGATCTCTGGCGTCAAAAGATCAGGCGCGTCGAGGGCCCGGACACACACTCCGTCTCCTGCTTTGCGCGGGGAGAGGGAAGACGTCGATGCGCTCCTGCTCGGACGTCTTTCTCGTCCCGAGGTCGGCGCGGGGACGAGCATGCGCGCCGCCGATACCTTGAGATGGCTGCGTCGCTGCCAGCGTTGGGCGCGCGAAGGACAAGGAGGGGATGGGCGTACCGCGGTCGTTATGTCCCTCTCCTCTTAACCTTCTCCAGCTCCCCGCTTGCCCCATTGTCTCCCTTCCACCCACACTTTTCCGCTCCCCTCGCTCCTCTCCTTTCATCCTCTTCTTCCCTCCTTTCCCTCCTTCTCTCTCTCTCCTCCTCCCTCCCCTTTGTATTTCCGTCATCCCTTCACTGACGCACGGTCTCCCAGGCCTCCAACGAACCCGACCTCTACACCGCGCACGGGCACCGCAACGCGTCGTACGGGCCGTTCGACTACGTCGGCGAGGTGAGCGACTTCCTGGCGCAGCTCGCGAGCAGCGGGATGGACCCGGAGGGGAGGGCGAAGGGGTTGTTGTTGGGTGAGTTATTGCCTGTTTTGATTTTTTTGGGTGGGGGGACGGGGAGGGAGGATGGGAGTGGGAGTCGTCTCGACGGGACAGAACATGAGCCACCGGGGAGCCGCGACGCGTCGTCCTCGGTGGGGATGCAGGTGATAGCGTGCCCGTCCCTGCGCGGACTGGACACGCGCTGGGCGGCGCCTGTGACAGCGCTCAGACGGTGGAGCCGATGGCGGCGTTGCGGACCGGCTGGCACGGCGATGGGCGAAGTCGCAGAGAGCGGGGAATGCGCGTAGGCGTCACCAGTATCTCGCGGCGTGACTGTACAGACGTGCGGTCCTCCTCACTTCCTCCCCTCTTCCTCTCCTCCCTCCCTCCCCCTTTCAAACGAATCGCTCGCTCACGCGCCCACAGGCCCCTCCGTCGCGGACGCGACCTGGACGCCCGAGATGGTCTGGGA